GATGGGCACAGATGTTAGCCCAGGGCCAGTCTTCCTCAGCAAAAAGAGGAGGATTGGCATGGATGTTAGCTCAGGGCTGATCTTCCTCACACACAAAAAAAATATATTAAAATGGGGGGAAAAGGAAAAAATGGTGGTAACTCTTTGTGGAATTGCAGGGTAGGGGTAAGGCTTAAATGAAATCCTGTAGGAGAAAACGTAGACCACCGTGCCTGGCCCTTCCTAGACCAAGGCTGCTTTCTAGCCCTGGGGCAGCAGCCTCAGCAGCACCAGTTTTCGTAGCAGGGATGGAGCCAAAGGTGGGAGTAGGAAATAGGGGGTCCCGCCTTAACCTGGTTCTTCAGTCTTTAGATTCCCAATTCCAGCATACTTCCAGTTGAGGTTATTTGAAATAGCAAGTTGGAGAAAATACTTTACAAAAGGTCAGATACCGTACCCTTTAACAAATAGGACCTATTGCTTACTAAGTAAAATATATCCTCTACAAGCCGATTGTTTGCTTTATTCTGTGACCTCTTTACAATAAATTTCAGTACCATTAAAGGCTTAAGTCACATTATTGATTATTTGAATATGTGTGTCATTAATCTTCCATCGCCCTCATACATTTTATATGTACATTTTAAGTGTCGTCTTTTGCATTTAGATGGAGAAGAACGGTCAGGAGAAAGCAGACATGTGGGTATTAGCTTCATATAGCACTTCGAAAACTCCCTTGAGCTGATTTGCCAGTAAATTTCTACACTAAAATGGGCTTTCAGAAGAATGACTGCTAGATAAACTATGAAGTGTCCCTAGTAAATAAAAATGATTCATCTCAGCTGAATAAATTCACTATCACTGGTCAAATAGTCTCATCCAATTCTATTTCCTGGTTCTATGAAAAGCCCTTTTCTTGTTGTATTAAGGTTGTCTGTAATTTTAATGGAAACTTTGAATTATTATCTGATTTTTAAAAATTGGTTCATGAAAGGATATTGATTCTTTAAGTTAGGGGCAGTTGAAATGTTGTTTATGGGCAAACTGATCTTGTTTGCTGGAACCTGGAAACCACTGTCAAGAAAACTTATCTTAAATCTGTGTTAAGATACACTTTTTAAAAAATGATCACAACTCTTAATGATCAACTCTGGTGGGAAGTGATGTCAGTGTGGAAGATGCAAGAGAACTGAAAGGTAAAAGTGAAAATCCATTAAGCAGGGTTCTTTCTGGTTGCTTAATTTTTATTCCCCGTCACTGATGCTCACTTCTTTCCCTGGGCGTTTTCCTGGGTAACGAGAAAATTCTGAAATCAAATAAGGCTTTTGAACATTGAAGATGTTTGCCACTGTTCTGTTGAAGAATCCTATAGATTTATAGTGATCCTAAGAGGTGTCTCATATCCACTATATTAACTAGCTTTTTAGAAGCTTATGAACATTGTAGCTTTTATCGATTCCAGACAATCGTACCCAACAATAAGCAATAAAAGTCGATGGTAACTTTCTTCCCGTATAGGGGTGTGCAGATCAATATTTTGAATTTACTGTAATTTGCTGGTAATGGATGGAAGAACTAAAAAAAATTGCAGAGCCTTGTGGGGCACAGCTGTGCAGTGTTGCCTTTTTATCTCAGCTCACTGTAGGTCACAGGCTTTCCTGGCGAACAAGAAACATAGTTAAGTGGCAGGGCTGATACACGTATTTATCAAGAACCTTCATAAGTCCCTTCTAAGGGAGAAAAGAAAATCACAAAACTGGTCCAGGACAACCTTAATTTTATAGTCCTGAGGACCTCCAAACATGCACTGTCTTAAAGGCAATCAAAATTCTAAATATCTGGCATTTATGTGTGCTCTCTTTCTGCTAAAGGCGTTTTCCTTCTGACGAGTAGCAGGGTGTGTGTTTTCACTGAAGCCTGTTTGCTTCGAATCTTCCAGTTGTGTTCCAGAACTGTGCCCGGGTCCGGCATTCAGGAGGAGGAGGTGGGGCCTGGGCACTGGCTCTTCAGTTTTACCCGTTTGTCTCTCTCCGAGCTCTCCCTTCATGCCCTAGTGCTGGTCTAATGGGAGTAGTATGCTTAAATAGGGAGAGCTGACGTCTGGGGTGCCCTCACGTTGAGGACTGGGGCTAAATGCAGGACACCTGTTCTCATTAATCTTCTCAACACCTTATGACATAAATTGTCATACTCTCATTTTATAATTTAAGAAACTGAAGCTTAGAGGAGTTAAGGACGTTTTTCAAGGCCACTTTCTAGCGTTGACTTGTGTTAGAGTATAGGTACATCTGAATCTAGATCTTGTTCATTTAATCACTATGAAGTATACAATTGGGTTAAATAAGGATTTTTTTTAGTGTAAGGCTTTTTAGTTGATCTAATATATATTTTCTTGTTTACCTTCTTTTGTTGTGAAGAACTGTGGCTCCTCTGATCTGATCAAAATGAGTTTCCTTAATTTCACAAATGACACACTTTTGCTTGAAAGAGAAAGTCTTTTTGTTCTTTGAGAAGAAAATGAGCACATAAAATACAATATGACTGTGCGCTGGAAGCTCCTAACCTTGAGGAAATAAATGCACTTCACTTAGTATGTAGTCAACACTCAATAAACTGATGATGAAACTGATGATGATATTAATATAAGTCCTAGTGATTACTCAGCAAACTCTGCAGAGAAGTGTGGAAAAGTTGACTTAGGAGGCAGATTTCTCTTATAAAATACTGAATTGGAAGGCAATATGTATACAAACATCTGATTCCCAAGCTTGATTTTTTGATGTCAAGGGTGTAACATGTTAGGAAGCCTCAGAAACCATCGTAATTGGCTAGAAAGGAAGCTTGTTGCACTTGCTCATTTACTTGGAGTTAGCTGATTATTTGACTTGTTACGCTTTTCTGCTTTAAAAGGTCTGTGTTAAAAGTAATGTGTTTGCAAGGCTTTGCTTCAAATAAAATCAGAGTCTATAAAAATAATTTAAGTGTGAAATTTGCTTAGAAAGAGGTGCAAAGATCTGTGTTGTATCACTCCTTTCTAAGAGTAATTGCCACTGTGTCAACTGTGAATGCCGCTTGATGGCCTTCACAAGGGGGTCC